CTACACTTTGTAGATCAACGAAATTATGGTTACACTAGGTTGTGTTGACAAAATTTTTTAGGTCCTTTTCGGCATATTTTCCCTGCAAATATAGGCAAGTTTTTTGAAATAGGTAGACTATTCCTACAAAATTCACCTATATTTTCGGTAAAAATCTGCTCAAAAAGTCTACTAAAAAATTTTGTCAACACAACCTAATAATATATTATCAATTTTTTCTTTCTTTATTGTAAAATCACTAATAATAGGAATTTAAGTTAAGTGAATAGGCTTACTAAAACAAAAGTTCATTATTCACTATTATTTACAAGAAAAGAATAGTATGATAAATTTTTTATCAATAAAATTTATGTCAATGTTTAATATCATAAGATGTTAAAGTAGCTTTAATAAGAAAATTAGAATAATTTTCCTGTGAGTTTCTTATTATAAAAATTAGATAAGTTTTAACAATAATTAAGAGTATTATTATGAAACAATATTATAATAATAGGGGATTAATTAATTTAAAATTAGGTGAATTTCAAGAAGCATGCGATGCTTTTCATCAAGCTATAACATTTACTACTTTAAGTTGTGAGTCAGAATATGAAACGATATATACTAATAATTTAGAAGAAGTTTTGTTTAAAGAGGATTCAATATCATCACAACACCTTGTTACTAAAGCCATAGAACCTACTCCAAATAATATACAATATTATTATAATTTAGGAATTATAGCATTTAAATTAAATAAACTAGAAATAGCCTATAATGCTTTTTCTAAGGCTAGTACATTTGATCTAAATAATATAAACTATCATTATCATCTAGGATTAGTATCATTTCAATTAAATAAACTAGAAGTAGCCTATAATGCTTTTCTTCAGCTTACCACACTTGACCCAGATAATGAAAAATATTATTGTGATTTAGGAATAACTACATTTAAGTTAAATAAATTAGAAGTAGCATATTGTGCTTTTTCTTGTGCTATCAAACTTGCTCCAAATAATGCACAATATTATTATAATTCAGGGATAATTTTATCTAAATTAAATGCAGCCTATGATGCTTTTCTCTATGCTATCAAACTTGACCCAGATAATGCAAAATATTATAGTTACCTAGGCTTTACATCATTCAAATTAAACAGACTTGAAGATGGCTGTAATGCTTTTTCTAAAGCTACAGAACTTGCTCCAAATAATATAAAATATCATTTGAATTTAGAAAAAACTTTATGTACATTAGATGGTATAGAAGCATCTGCTAATCCAAACATAATAAATGATATATATAATACATATTGTTTTAATTCTTCTTCATCTGAATTGGAACCAAAGCTTGTAGCAGAGGTAAGTTATTATCAGTAGATTAATATTTATTAATACAATATATGCAACAATTTAGTTTTTACCACACTATTGAAGGACAATTATATAAGACAACATGTATCTTAGCAGAGAAATCTTATCATAATAATCTTAAAGTTGTCATTTTAACATTAGATGTAGATGTACAAGAACAAATTAATAAACTTATGTGGACCTATTCTCGTAAGCACTTTATTCCACATGGTAGTAAACTTGATCCATTACCAGAAAAACAACCTATCTATATTACTCATATAATGGAAAATCCTAATAATGCTAATATTTTAATAATTACTGCACCTTTTAATATTGAAATGATTCTTAGTAATAAACAATATATTTCTATGTTTAAAAGAATAATAATAATATATGATTCACTAGATGAATCTCATCTGATAATTCAAGCTATTAAAACTATAGGTCTTAACGATAATTATAAGATTGATTATTACAAGCAAAGTCCTAATTATTCTTGGTCCAAGGTAGAATAACATAAAATGATAAGTTAATATAAATACTATATTTATATTATTTTAGAATTTTTAAGGTAATATTAAATTATATGACACTAGAGCAATTTAGACAAAAATATCATTATGCTCAATCAACAAAAATGATACAACAATATTTAGATATTAAATTTGCTAATATTGATTGTCTCGTACTGTTTAGAATGGGGGATTTTTATGAATTATTCTTTGATGATGCAATTATAGCTAGCAAAATATTATCTATTGCCCTTACTAAAAGAGGTAAGAATGGTGATGATGAAATTGCTATGTGTGGTGTACCTTACCACTCACTAGAAACATATTTAAACAAATTAATTGATAGTAATTACAAAGTGGCAATTTGTGATCAATTAGAAACACCAGAAGAAGCAAAAAAACGAGATGGCTATAAAGCTGTAGTAGCAAGAGATGTCACTCGTATTATTACCCCTGGTACAATCACTGAAGAATCATTAATTACAGTCAATGAGCCCCACTATTTAGCAAGTATAGTGCTAGTTAAAAATAGGGCTGCAATTTGTTATGTAGATTTATCAATTGCAGAAATTGCAGTACTTGATATTGATCACAATGAGGTTATAAATGAATTAGCACGTCTCAAACCAAAAGAAATTTTACTAAGTGAAAATTTAAAAGGTCAACAAATTATTAATAATATTAATAATCAATTACATCAGAGAATTTCATATCAAATCGATAGTTTTTTTGCACTAAATAAATGTCAAAAAATTATCTTAGATTTTTATAAGATCCAAGATATAAGAGCAATAGGTGAATTATCAAAACATCAAATAAGCGCTATTGGTAGTATTATAGAATATTTATCTTTAACACAAAAACAAAATATACCATTATTACCATTACCTAAAATTATTAATCACCTTAATTTCATGAATATTGACCTTGCTACTAGGCGCAACCTTGAAATTACTTATAATTTACTAGGTCAAGTTAAAGGTAGTTTACTTGACTCTATTGATTATACAATCACTAAGTCTGGTCGTCGTTTATTATATAATTTTTTATCTGCACCACTAATCAATATTGATGAAATAAATCATCGTTATAATATTACAGAATTCTTTTATTTAAATAATACAATCACAACTAATACTAGAACTTTATTAAAAAAAATTGGTGATTTAGAACGTTGTCTTACACGTATTATGATGCATCGTAGTTCTGGTCGTGATTTATTAATAATAAAATATATTTTAGAGATTGCATCACAAATTAAAGACGAGTTTTTACAAATTTGTGGTTTTAATTTACCTAACTTTATCGAAAACATATTAAAACCTTTATCTTGTAATGAAGAATTATCTTCTTTAATAGAACAAGCTATTAGAGAAGATGCTCCAAATAATTTAAATGAGGGTGGTATTATTAAATGTGAATATCATCCTAAAATACAAGAATTATACTCTTTAATTAATAATAGTAAGGCATTTATTGAAAAATTAAAGGATCAGTATCGTAAAGAAACTAATATTGATAATCTTAAAATATCACATAATAATGTTCTAGGTTTATTTATTGAAATTACATCACGTAATAGTAATAAAATGATAAATCCTAAATTTATTCATAGGCAAACAACTGTAAATAGCATACGTTATACTACTATTGAACTGCAAAAACTTGAAAGTGAAATAGTAAATGCTAGAACTTCAGTAATTAGTTTAGAACGTGAAATATATGCAAAAATATGTCAAAAAATTATTGATCAATCTATATTATTACGATCAATTGCTAAATCTTTAAGTACTTTAGATGTATTTTGCAATTTTGCCTATATTGCTAATGAGTATAATTATATAAAACCTATCTTAACACAAGACTTAAGTTTTGAGATTATTGGTGGTCGCCATCCTGTAATTGAACAAAATCTATTAAGTAACAGCAAGAATTTTATTAAAAATGATTGTACACTATCAGAAAATAATAGAATATGGTTAATTACTGGCCCCAATATGGCTGGTAAAAGTACTTTTTTAAGGCAGAATGCATTAATAACTATATTAGCTCAAATAGGCAGTTTTGTTCCAGCTTGCAAAGCTAAAATAGGTATTGTTGATAAAATATTTAGTCGTATAGGAGCTGGTGATGACTTATTACGTGGACAATCTACCTTTATGTTAGAAATGCTTGAAACTTCAGCTATTTTAGCGCAAGCAACACAAAATTCCTTAATTATATTAGATGAGGTAGGTAGAGGTACCGCCACTTATGATGGCGTATCAATTGCTTGGTCGGTACTTGAATATATTCATGATAAGTTAAGATGTCGTTGTTTATTTGCCACTCATTATCATGAATTAACTAGTATGAGTAATTTTTTACCTAGTTTACAAAATCATACTGTTGCCATTGAAGAACTAGACAAAGAAGTTTTATTTCTACATAATATTATTCCTGGATCGATAAATAAATCTTATGGAATTCATGTTGCCTACTTAGCGGGCCTACCAAAATCTGTTATAATAAGGGCGAGAGACATTTTAAAAAAATTTGAAAAAATAAGCAGTACTCAAGGGACAAAAATATTAAATACTGAATCAAATAATTTAAGTTTATTTAGCTTACAAATTGAACCTAAAACACAATATGATAAACTAAGAGAAGAAATAATTAATATTGATCCAGATCAATTATCTCCTAAAGAAGCCTTGGAAATATTATATAAATTGAAAGGATTAGTAGATATTAAGAATATGAAATAAAATTAATAGTAGATTCCTAATAATAAATCAAATATTATTATATAGTGATATTTCCACAGAATTAATAATGGTTTAATTAATATGGTAGAAGGTAAGGTTAATCCAAAACAACGATGGAAAGATGCAATAGATAAATTTCGCCCTGCAATTGCCCTAGAACAATATGATTCAGGTGCATTAGATAGTCTTATTGACTCTGTGAGGGTAGGAATAGTACAAACATTAAAGAAGATAAAATAAAACCATATCTTGAAGAAATAGCACAAGCAAAGCAAACTCATAATAATTATGAATACCCAATATTGCGGATGAATCAGGATGAATTAAAGAAATATCAATTATCTTATAATGAATCTTCTCAATCTTTAGTGGATCATAACCAGAAGATAGCTACTACTATTGGTAAAGAAAGTAAGAGCACGAGTTTAAATAACTTCCCTAAAGTATGGTAGTATGCTAT